CCCACATCGGGCTCCCGGTGCATGGAGCCTGCCTCTCCCTCTGCCTGTGTCTCTCCCTCTCTCTCTTTCTCTCTCTGTGTGACTATCATAAATAAATTAAAAAAAAAAATTAAAAAAAAATTTTAAAAGCTACAGGAAATACATGTGTGTATTATGTCAGTATACTTATCAGATAGCTGACTGAGCACCATAAAACAGCATCATGATACAGAGGGCACTTTTGTCTTTTGCTTTACTCCAAAGACCCCAAACTCAAAATGAAGGAAACAGGCCAGTGGAGTCGATGGCAGTCTGGAGTGTGCATGCCAGGCTTAAACAGGACAACCACTACTCAGCTCTATGTGACTAAACATGAGGGAATGCAAGTTTGTGCTGTCAGCACTCTCAAATTTTTACAAGATGCCAGAAATCACATTTTTCTGTGAAATTTTTTCTAATGTTGGCACAAAGTTAAATAATTATTTTTCTATGTATCATATAAGACAAAATACGTCTGCAGGCTGAATCTGAATCTTTTCCTTAGGAATCATTTGGCTTTTTTTTCTTTTTTATAACATATATCCAAGTTATAATCTAAAAATATAAACAACATTAAAAGCCCACTTCACTTCTCCAAGAGAATTTCCATAACTATGAAATGGAAGAGTAGAAGTAGAAAGGTTTAAAGTTATTGCTGGTTCTAACCTATGAATCTACTAAAACACAAGTTTCATGAAGACACAAGCACAATGAGGGACTCAGCAGCTAAAAAGAAAAACAACACATGATCCCAGGCACTGGTTAATAATTGAAGGCAATAATGCTCAGTTCTGTGTACTAACTGAAAAATCTCCACAGAGGTGTACACACAAACATACGTGCATACATACAAAAAGAATCAAGGAAAAAAATAGAGAAGAACATATACAAACTTAAGTGACCCAGGTAGTTTGTTTAGAACAAAAATCAAACTGTAACAAACCTCAACACTAAGGACTTCAAACTTCTCTCTTACAGACTTGCTGCTTTCTCTCTTCCCGATTTTCAACTTTTTTGTTTTTGCTGGCCCTTTCTGGCTCTTTTTCCTTTTGGTGGATTCCTCTTCAGTAGAAATCTACAAAGGGGGGAATAAAAGATCCAAAAGAATAAAGAGAAACAATTCTGTGCTTTCTCTCCAATTTCAGGTCACCTGTCACCTTGCCTTGTTAGTCCTGTACTGTACCTCACTCCCAGTATTCCTGTTAATTCCTGTTCCAATCCCATTCTGTCACCAATATTCCCTTTGCCCAAGGTGGGAGCCTTCTTCATATTCTCAAAAGCCTCTTCTCTCCTATGTTCTTCCTCCTTTGCCTGGGATGAACACTGGGATCCCCACTATGAGAAGCAATTTGGAAGAGTTTGTAAAAATGGGATGGTGGAGACATGGAGACCTGAGTTGAACTCCCAACTCTGCCATAACAAGCTATACGGTTTCAGTTAAAAAGGTAACCTCTCTCAGCCTCAGTTTCTCATCATGGAATGATGTTCTCTACGCCACTGTAGTTGGAAAGATCACAAAAAATACACACAAGGTCATAAATCAAATGATAGTTCCCTGCCCTCTAGCATTTAGAGCAATACCTACTCTAGGTCAAGATGGTGAATTTCAATGCAAATTCTAAATTATTGTATTATTATATTATTAATATACACGGCAAGGATCTCATTTAAAAATCAACCACAAGGGATCCCTGGGTGGCGCAGCGGTTTGGCGCCTGCCTTTGGCCCAGGGCGCGATCCTGGAGACCCGGGATCGAATCCCACATTGGGCTCCCGGTGCATGGAGCCTGCTTCTCCCTCTGCCTGTGTCTCTGCCTCTCTCTCTCTCTCTGTGACTATCGTAAATAAATAAATAAAAAACCTTTAAAAAAAAAAATCAACCACAAATGCTTTTTCTCCTTTATTTTTAATTAATTGAAATATATTTAACACTCAATGTTACATTAGTTTCAGGTACACAACATAGTGATTTGATGACTCTACATATTATCATATTATCCTATGATCCCACAAGGGTAGCCAACAACTATCACCATACAATTCTATTATAATACCACTGAGTGTAGTCCCCATGTTGTACCATTCATGACTTACTCTACAACTTTTCTCTCCATCTTTAACCAACATGGCACAAAGTTCTTAAGAATAACAGCACTGCAAGCTCAAGTACTAAATGCCTTGCTTCAAAAAATATAGCCTCATGATGGTACAGACTCTCTAACAAGTTCAACTTACAAAAGTAGACTTCAAAAAGAAGCAAATACAGAAAGTACCATTCTCAAGGTTCATTCTTCACAAGGATACTAGAAAGTGTAAAATGAGTCTTACAAGCATATCACTTACATCAAATAAGTTGTCTTGTTCAACTGACTGCTGGAAAGCCTTCTCTAATTTGTGGGTCTTTCTCGTACCCCCTCGGGGGAAGCTTTCTTCCATGGCTGCCGTATTTGAGTCACCTAAAAACAATGTAAAGAGTATCAATGAGCTATAGCCTTGGCGTGAAATTTCCTAAAGGTTGTGATCAGCGGGCAAGAGATAAAACTTTCTAGCGCCAATGGGCTAGGTAACATTCAGGACTAAGAAATCAGGTTTGATGCTAGACCTCAAATAACCCAAATTTCATCTTTCCAAAGATCCCTGCTTCAAAACCACAAATCCATACATTTTCCTCCAGGAAAAGAAATTATAGATCCAACATAGTAAATATCACATTATAGCCACAGTTAAGTCAGAGATACACAAGTTGATATATAACTCCCTATCTTCAAAGAATATGCACAATTTTGGGGGGCCTGGGTGTTTCAGTCAAGTAAACATCTGAATCCTGATCTCAGGGTCGTGAGCTCAAGCCCCACATTGGGCTCCTCACCAGACATGGAGCCTACTTTAAAAAAAAATTTTTTTTTAAAAGAACATGCACAATTTTAAGAAAATAAAACAATTATGAAAATAATTTAAAATACCAACCGGCGCACCTGGCTAGCTAGGTCAGAAGAGCATGCAGCCCTTGATCTCAGGGTCATAAGTTCAAGCCCCACGTTGGGTGTAGAAATTACTAAAAATAAATAAATAGATAAAACACAAATCAAATTACAGACAAAGAAATATGAAGTGATGTGGCTTCAGTAAAGAAGGCAAGCTTCTTAAAGACATCTTTGAGCTGTTAAAAGATGGAAAAGAGGGACGCCTGGGTGGCTCAGTGGTTGAGCGTCTGCTTTTGGTTCAGGGCTTGGTTCAGGGCGTGATCCCAGGATCCTGGGATCAAGTCCCTCATCAGGCTCCCTGCAGGGAGCCTGCTTCTCCCTCAGCCTATGTCTCTGCCTCTCTCTCTGTGTGTCTCTCATGAATAAATAAGTAAAATCTTAAAAAAAAAAAAAAAAAAAGGAAGATTTTGACAGGTGAAAAAGGAAAAAGAGGAGAAATGTGAGACTAGGCATAGAAACAGTTAAAGCCAAATACTTCCATAATCACCAGTAATTTCTCAAAAAAACTGCACAAGAAGTTGCTGTTTCCTTTCTTTGATGAACTGTTTAGACCACAGGGGGAATAAAGCATAATAATCAATTTAATAATCTTAAATTGGAGAAGACAGGTGGGCTTTTTCGTGAAAGATTTCAAGCTACATTACGAGTAGTTTGATGTTTACTTTGACAAGTCAGAGCCCTAAGTAGGGGAAGAAACAGAACAGCAACCAAGAAAAATATACTGCAGGCTACAGACAGGAAGAGAAACAGGGCTGAAGGAAAGTGAACAGAGTAGAAGTCAACTGCAGTGCAGCAAAGAGAAACCATAGGAAAGAGGACAGGTCTACACGATAGTGGAGATTGGTTTTGAGAGACACTTGGAATAAGGATCTAGAAAGGCTTTCGACTACAGTGGAGGTGAAGACCCAGTGGAAGCCTTGGATTTGGCATCAGGAAGAGGTGGGTGCACGCTTCGGAGAAACAGGAAAGAGCAGAGAAGTCTAGTTTGCAGGGAATTTGACCCTAAATGTCAGTTCAGACGAGGAGAAACTGAAGTTTCAAAAAGGCGATCGAGAGACAGAGAAGAGACATAAGGAACTTCCCAAGGATAGAGCCTGATACTGCAGAGGTCAGCATCTGAGCCGGTCCGAGATGGCTGAGCCACTCACGCAGCAGCGGAGGTGCGTGGCAGGGACCCAGAGGACCTAGCCCTGGAACAGACCTGGAAGCCACGAGCTCTCCTTCCTTCTCGCCCCTTTTCTCACTCACCAGCCCCGTGACGCCAGCAGCTCTACTTCAGAGCCCGTGGAGCATCAGAGTCACACACGAGGGAAGCACATCCGCGAGACAACCCCGCTATTCCGGAAGCGTGGGCGGGCCTATCACCCTACTTCCGCTACCACGCTGAGTCCTACTGGTCGGGGGGAGGATGGGGGGCGGGAAATTTAGAGAAAGGAAGCGGAAGGGCGGGGCTTCGAGCCGTAGCCAATCGACGCTGAAGGCTGAATAGGCTCTGGCCCGCTGAACGCGTGCGGGGGAGGCGGCTTCTTCCGGCCGGCCGCAGGTTAGCTGCGTACGTTGAAGGACACAACCAGTGGAACTGCTACCTTTTGCGAGGTGGGTGTGTGGACGGGATCCCCGGCGCAGGCTTCGTGCCTCCGCTTTGAAGGGGAGGCACAAACCTCCGAGCGTTCCTGACGCAGGAACGCCGCTAGGTCTTTGCTTTGGGGAGCGAGAACAGCGGAGAATTGGGGAAAGGAATTAGAGGTAACGAGGGAGCCAGGGCGCGAGGGTCGGACTGGGAACCCAAGGGGCGAGGAGGATAGGCGGTCCTAGGGGCTCCCATAGTTCCCAAGGGCCCTTGGATCCTTTTACGATGAGGAAAAATGAGGCCCGCTGCGAAGGGACTCCCCCCAAGGTCACCTAGCGATGTAATACTGAATGAAACTCGGGCTCCCGGCCAGATTAACCTGTCTTCCTCGGTATGCCCATAGTCTGTTTGCACTGCGCTGTGCCTCGGGAGCTGGCCAGCGAGGCCTCCTTTAGCTGCGCTGCAGCCTTTGTCAAAGCGGGAATGTGTGCGGCCCGGCGCCCGCAGTCGGCCAGGCCGGCGGTCCGCGGGTTAGAGTCCAGGCGGTCGGATCGCAGCGGGAAGGCCTTTTCCCTCTAAGGGGCAGCCAGAACAGGGAGCTGATTACCCCCCTTGAAGTGCAAAAGGCTGCTTTCGGCACCCGAGTGGTTCTCGACTTTTACCTCGTGATCTCACCGCTCCGGCTAGGTAGGTGTCCAGTCAGGGAAAGGCGGTTGGTCCCTTTGGGCCTTCTCTGAAATGCCCGTTTCACAGGTGAAGAAAGACGTGGAAGGCGTCATTCCTGTTTACTCGCGGTAGGCCCGTTAATTGGAAACGAGAGTGAGACCCCATGCTTCGACTTCTCCACGGGCTACCTACCACTTAGCAGTTAGGGCCTTTATTAGTCTTAGGTAATTTGTTCCTTGTTATGTCTTTCTAAACTTTGTATGGTTCAAAAAGGAGTCAGGTCTCAGTTCGAGTTACTCCACAGAGGGTGCTCTAGCCCCAAGGGTTCGAGATCTTTGTCCAAAAGTAACGTGCAGCTCGCGGAAGGGGGCAAGCCCCAGTGCTTGTAGGCTTTTATCCCATTGTTTATTTCACCGGCAACATTTTACTCCCGACTCGTGCCTCCATCTCACCTTCACAAGAGTCTTCAAGACCCAGACTAAATCTCAGTTCCTATGCCATGCCCTTCCCTGCAGTCAGAATTAGTCCTCTGTGGAATATCAAAGCCTTCCTACCATATTGTGTAGAGAGAAATTTAGGGCGCTTTAAAATTGTTTCACTTGGACACCACGTCCTCCTAAAAATTTCTGTTACACACAAGGGAGTGGGGTTATCATTTAAATAATAACGGCAAAGTTAAGCTCCTGTTTTGTGTAGGGTTTCTCCTAGAAACCTACTTAATACCAAAAGAATCCAAAAGTGTATCATGAAGATGAATGGAGGGGAAACTATGCCTTTAGTAAGTCTAGTAAAATGAAACCATTAACATAAAAGCTACATTAAAAAGATTTATCTTAATGGAGATTTCCCTTCTTGGTCTGGAAAGGCCAAGTCCCCTGAGGAGACTTAAGTTTGGATTTCCTTCATTGTTCCAAGAACTTTATTGAAACTTCAGGATTAAGGTCATTTGTCCAAATTTTCATTGCCATTTCTGTGCACGAGAACGCCTCTGAAGGCCTTTGAATGGTAAACAGGGGAGTGCCAGTTTCCATAGCAACGACTTCCTCACAGATCTTTCCCTCTTCCATTTCATCAAGAGCCAGCTGAGTCACAGCCACTGCCTATCAATCTCGACCGGACCTCGACCGGCTCGTCTATGTTGCCAATCGACTCGGCGTGGCGTCGGTCGTGGTAGATAGGCGGTCATACATACGAATTTTCAAGTGTTCTGGTGACCTTTGAATGTGCTTTTGTTATTTTTTATTTTAACAAATATATGCCTGTGTAATATATAGGTACTTATAACTCCTCTTAAAAGTTTGTTGCATATTTTTCCAGAGTTTTTTTCTGTACATTTAATAACAAATATTTGGTTTTCTATTACTGCTGTATCTTTTAAACTTTAGTTTACATAAGAAATGCCTAGAGGGCATATTAAAGCAGATTACTCCTGGGCCCCAGAGTTTCTGAATAGGCCTGAGGTCAGGCCTGAGAATTTGCATTTCCAACAAGTTTCCAGTGATGTTGCTGCTGCTGGTCTAGGAACCAGACTTTGAGAACCATTTATGTACTATGTAGTATAATGTCCAGAAACAGATTTTTTTTTTCAGTTAAACATACACAGGGACATCTTACCATGTCCACGCATAAATATCTATGCACATTGTAGTTCCTCAAATGGAAACTATCAGTCTCTTGTATGTAGATTAACTTTTCATTTTTTCCCATTTATTTTCATAAACAGTATTTCAGTCATCCTTCTTGACCCATAGAACATGTTTCCACTTTGCAGTATTTCTTTAAGGGTAAATAAATTCCTGGAGAACAAATGAACCAGCTACCTAAAAGGGTATATTAATTTTATAATTTGATAGGTATTGCAAAATTGCACCTTAGGAAAAGTACCAGTTTACACTCAGGCAACAGGAAATGCTTTATTTTCTCATTCTTACTATTTATTATTTTTCCTAGTCTGATAGTTAAATATCGGCCTCATTTACATTTCTTTGATCACTTTTGTGTTTTCCCATTGAGTTTTTGGCCTTTATATTTTCCCTTTCCTGAGGTAACTAAAATACTGGTCCATGTTTTCTTCCAGGATTCCTCGGCTTTACTATTTATATTTAGATCTTTTACCTATTTTGGTGTAAGAAGTGGGGATTCCAGCTTTCCTGATACCTCCAATAGCTAGTATGTCTCCTAGGGGTGGGAGTTAGATGCTGAGAGCACCGTAGCCTAGGTAGTGAGTATCCTGTTTATAACTAGTTGACAGACTTTGATAATGGCATTTTGGTAGGATCTCCATCTTTAAGAACTTGAACCAGCATTTTCTTATATAAATTCTTTAAAGTGTGGAAATATATATATATATTTTAAAGATTTTATTTATTTATGGGAGACACAGAGAGAGAGAGGCAGAGACACAGGCAGAGAAGAAGCAGGCTCCATGCAGGGAGCCCAATGTGGGACTCGATCCTGGGACTCCAGGATCATGCCCTGGGCCAAAGGCAGATGCTCAACTGCTGAGCCACTGAGGTGTCCCACTTCCAGTTCTTATACTTTGATGTACATCCCTTTTGTTAAAATAATGTTAATTTTAAAAAAAATGGTAGTATCAGTTCCATTTAGTAAATGATCCCTTCTCTTCCCATTCCTAAAATTATAAGAAAAATTGTGAGGGTGCCTGAGTGGCTCAGTGGTTGAGCGTCTGTCTGCTTTTGGCTCGGGTTGTGATCGAGTCCCGCATCGGGCTCCTTGTGGGGAGCCTGCTTCTCTCTCATGAATAAATAAATAAAATCTTTAAGAAGGAGGAAAAGAAAAATTGTGAAAGGGGTTGCAAGTTGAGCTGTTTATTTGGTGGTTACCCTTCTTAGAAACTTTGAAATGTATCAGAAGCTCCAACTTTCATCTACTCCTCTTAAAAGGAGTATGCATGATTGAGTCCATGCACAATGTAACATGATGTAGTGAGAACCAAAAACAGTATCAAGCAATATTGGGTTAAAGGGTGGGCCTAGAGATTACTGTGTTCTCTTCAGTGCTAAATGATTTGATGTATATTTTGGAATGTTATACAATAGCAACCGAGGTCAAGTCTTCCTTCTGAAAGTTTCTCTTATCAATAAGTTTTTCACCATCTTTGCTACTTGTTTTGGGCAAGACATAAGAACTCGTAATATTTATAATGCAATGACTTTAACTTAAAAAAATAAAAACAAAAAAACAAGGGGTGCTTGGCTGGCTTAGTTGGTGGAGCATGTGACTCTTGATCTCCGGGTTTTAAGTTCAAGCCCCATGTTGGATACAGAGATTACTGAAAAAAATAAAATCTTTAAAACAACAACAAAATGAAACTTAATTTTCTTTTAAATTGCATCCAGGGATCCCTGGGTGGCGCAGCGGTTTGGCGCCTGCCTTTGGCCCAGGGCGTGATCCTGGAGACCCGGGATCGAATCCCACATCGGGCTCCCGGTGCATGGAGCCTGCTTCTCCCTCTGCCTGTGTCTCTGCCTCTCTCTCTCTCTCTGTGTGACTATCATAAATAAATAAAAATCAAAAAAAAAAAAAATTGCATCCAAACCAATTTATTATTGCTTTCTTTTTTTTTTTTTTTTTTTTAAAGATTGAAATCATGGCAGGTCCAGAAACTGATGCCCAATTCCATTTCACTGGTATCAAAAAATATTTCAACTCTTATACTCTCACAGGTAGAATGAATGTAAGTATTAACAATACCTTTAAGCAGTTATGATTTAGTATAATATAGGTGGCAATAGCTCTTGTTTACTTTCTTCTTTCTTTTTCAGTGTGTATTGGCCACATACGGAGGCATTGCTTTGATGATTTTATACTTCAAATTAAGGTCTAAAAAAACACCAGCTGTGAAAGCAACATAAATGGTAAGGAATTGACATTTAAAAGTTGGTAACTGGGCAGCATGGGTGGCTCAGCGGTTTAGCACCGCCTTCAGCCCAGGGTCTGATCCTGGAGACCCGGGATCGACTCCCACGTCGGGCTCCCTGCATGGAGCCTGCTTCTCCCTCTTCCTGTGTTTCTGCCTCTCTCTGTCTCTCGTGAATAAATGGATAAAATATTTTTTAAAAAATTTTATTCATAAAAGAATAAAAGTTGGTAACTTAGCCATTATGTTGGTAGGGTTTTTTCCCTTACTATAAAAGTAAATTGTTGTCCTTGTGCAGTTACATACAAGAGGAAAGTATTGTTCATATCTCAGTACCTTGACAATTTTTGTTAATATTTTGGTTTCGCTTTTTTTTTATATACATTTTTTTAATTTGGTTTTCAGTGGCTAGGAGTCCTGTCTGTAATACTGTCTTATAACAAATGTCTTCCTCTAGTAGTTGAATGTATGAGTGTATATGGATATTTGATGTATATCTGTTCCCTATTAGAATTTTTTAAATATGAAATATTGCATTGAACGCCTTTGAGCTTGGGTTAAAGGGTGGGCTTAGAGACTACTATGTTCTTTTCCATGCTATAGTGTTGCCTATTTGATTGTTTTAAGCTTAAGGACTTTTCCCCAAGGGTTATGGGGTGCCCAGCTTTGTAAGAGGATGTCTCCTGTCCTAGCCAATGTTGAATCAGTTTCTGATTTTTGCTTATTTTGATGAGTGAAAATGAGTCTTTTTGATGAAGTAATACATTTTTTCATTTACTGTTTGCGTTTTTCTTAACAGTCCCTTAATATATTTTTCTTATTTAACAATTGAGTCTTTTTCTTTGTGAAGACCTTATTTCTCTTACATAAGTCCTTTATGTAATAATTATTAAAACCAATCTTTTAAATACATTGTAAATATATCTTATTTTTTTGCTAGCTTCAAATTTCTATATAACCAATTTTATATTTTCCTTAAATTTTTATAGATTTCATTTTCTTATGGCACACCACAACCTCCATTTGCCCATCCTTGAATGAATAATTGTTTTGGTAATAGATGATATGGAGAAAACCCCAAACCCAGATCTTTATCTTCCTTAGTTCTCCACAGAAAATTTTTCCTTTGCTCTTAAAAGCTTTTCCAATCTCAAAACTATTGACTAAGACTACATACCCCAGAATGCAGTGGCCCATGACTCATTCCTGAGAAACAGGGAGTTTTTGCCCAGTTTCCATATTAGGTACCTCCCAACTTTGGGAGGGTGGTTGTATCCCCATTATAAAAATGGAGAAATTTTATCTCTGATATGTTTAATATTTTTTTTTTTTTATGATAGTCACAGAGAGAGAGAGAGAGAGAGAGAGAGAGAGGCAGAGACATAGGCAGAGGGAGAAGCAGGCTCCATGCATCGGGAGCCTGACGTGGGATTCGATCCCGGGTCTCCAGGATCGCGCCCTGGGCCAAAGGCAGGCGCCAAACTGCTACGCCACCCAGGGATCCCTGTTTACTACTTTTTAAAATGTTATTTTGTATACTAGACTTTTCCAATAGCATACATTCAGGATCATACTGAGTTGTTGGCAGCTCTTTTGTTAAAGGTTAAGTGTAAGGTTAAATTGTAGTAAGCTGACACACACACACACAAAAGAAAATTGTAGTAAGCTGAAAGATACCTGCATTTTGGAGTGGTTACTAACTGAGAATCTGATGAATTTGCATTCGGTTTCAGGGGGTTCATGGATAGTCCTATACTAGTAATTACTGAATATCTTAGAGTTGAACACAATTGTGTCTGAACTATTTTTGCTTTGTTTATAGGACTTTAACTTGGACCTCATCTCTTAAGTTCCCATGCTTGGAAAAGCTAATGTAAACTCATCATGTGATACTCAATTTGTACAATAAATTATGAACCTGGAAAAGCTGGTTGTCTTTATTTACAAGATATCAAAAATATAAAAACTGTACAAAATGCAACGAAGGCAAAAAACTGGCAGTGACTTGGTCTAAATCTTTTAGTTTCCCAAAGCAAGGCTCAGTACTGGAGGTAAGCAACTGAAATGTCTGTCTGACTTCAAGTGTACTAGGTTGTATGTAGCTGCTTTAGCTGAAGTAGAACATGGAAGCTAAATTTCTTCACCTGGTTTATAGAGTGTTTGGGTGCACTCAGAATCCAACAGGTACAAATTCAGATGTCAGTGGTTGGCTTGTAGTTCATCTAGTTCTTAGAAATTGTAGTTCACCCTACCCAGTAACATACATTCCACTAATCATGGGCCAAGCAAAAATGTTAGTGGATCATTTAACATAGTACTTGAGTGCCATACAGTAACTACATTTTTACAGCAAAAACATACATGCTCATAGAGTTCTTCAGCTAAAATTCAAGATGGTATTATATTACTCAATTTGAATCTTGAAGCGGATGAATTATTGAAATCAATTGATTTTTTTTCCTAAACATAATAAATTAAAATAGCATTTGAACAGAAAATGCATAGTTTCCACACAATCCAAAGCACCATAAATGTCCCCTCCACAAACATAATACCTCTTATTCAACTAACGGAAATTAGTTAAATGTGGTTGCTATAGAAACGTGGAACTGTCCTGTTCAGATTTTCCAAGCAGCATCCTTCCAGATCCATATAGACAAAACATTCTTTGTAGCTTAAATATTAATCACTGAGGTATTTGCTTTTAGTCTCCCTTTTTCAAACAGTAGCTTCCAAAAGGTCTTTAATACCGATGGTTTATTGCGGACTATAAGCTCCTGCAGCTAGAACCAAGTTTCTTCGAGTAAAATGGAGATGTACAACTGGTGTTGATTTGGTCATATATGTTCCCAACAGTAACTCCTGTGAATTCTCAGGTAAATTTATATGCCCAGTGGCTGTAGTAAAGTCATCGGTCTCTAAATCTTCAAATGCTTTGACAGCATCCCACAACCGGACTGTATTATCCATTGAACCTAAGGGGAAGTTAAAAGGAAACTATTTAGTAGAGTCTACCATATTTGAGTTCTGACATTTTGTCAAATACACTTCATATATTTACTATATATTTCTGGTGGAAAAAATCTAAACTTGATTAATAAACTCTACCTTCTAAAGGACCATTTCAAGCAGTTTAACCCGAGAAGTCTGCACATGTCATGTCTTAGAGAAGCAAAACCTAACACAGTCAATCAACACTGTTTCATTTTAACATACCATTTACCCCTTAGCACAAAGCCATTTCTAATCATTTACCTGAGGCCAAAATTTCACCATCTCTACTAAACCTAAGTGAACAGACTGTATCAGTGTGGCCTTTTAATTCTCCAACCATCAAACCATGTCCGATATCCCAAAGGAGTACTCTGCCATCTGTTGCTCCTGTAGCCAGGAATCTCCCATTGGGAGAAAATGTCAAGGAATGAATTGGTCCCTAGAAAATAAGTCCATGGAAAGAATCAGAAGTGGGTTAAAAATATCTAAGTAAGAAAATGCTAGAATTTAAAAGCTTAATGGAATGAATAGTTATCTCAAAGACAACTTGTGTGCCAGAACAATGGTGTAAAATACCTTGTGTCCAGTGAATATTCTTACGCAGTTCCCATTCAAGACATCCCAGAGCCGCACAGTTCTGTCTGCAGAGCCCGTAGCAACATAATTAGAATTTGGATGGAACCTGGTACAATTCACATCAGCAAGATGGCCAGCAAATATCCTTAAAGGCTGGTAGTGGTCTGTAGCCCAGAGCCTTTTAAAAAAATGCATTGAAAGCAAAAAAAAAAAAAAAAAAAAAAAAAAAAGTAATAGTTAACTGCCAAAATTCTAAAATAAATACAGAAACACCCATGTGAAATATTAACTCCAAATAGATCTCCACCCCCACCCCCACCCCTTCACTGGCTACCTAAGGAAAAGTGGAATGAGTGAGACGAAATAACATTCTCAAGGGAAACTAAGTTGATTTAATATAAATTGTTTTCAATTCTCTAGTTCTCTGTTATGTACCCCCTTTCCTACCCCAATTCGTAGTCTAACCCATAGAAAAGTATTTTTCCCTAGTTTTGGCCACCATAAAATTAGTTTCTAATTTGAGTTACCTCATCCTGAACTTTAAAGGGGATCACAGGAAAACACCAGCAGTGCTCACAGTGATGGTGAAAGTCTAGCTGGTGGGAGGGGTGGGGAGCCTGTTAAATACTTGAGGGAAAAAAAGGATTCTTGATAGAATTACATAGTAATACTCCTCCCAAATTCATTTTCAAAATAGGTACTATAAATGCTGACATTCTCAAAAAGTTGATCCCAAATAATAGAAGTGAAAACAAGTTTGGCTGAAGTGTATAATTCCCCCAAAAACAATTTTGCCAGTCATAAGATCACAACGTTCTTACCGAGCTACTCGATCATGGCCCCCTGACACGAAGTAATATCCATATGGAGAAAACTGTGTGTCCCATACTGGGTAGTTGTGTCCTTTATATCCCACCAAGCAAGTAAATGTTTGAAGACTCCACAATCTAACAGTTCCATCCTCTGAAGAAGAAAGCAAGTAGTTCCTGCGGGAAGAAAAGGTAATATATTTGATTCCCAGGATAACTTAGTTACCTGTCCAGTTTCTTTGTACATTTGAATATGTTAAATATAGCTGACATGCTACATCTTTTACCTATACATGGAATTCACAGTAGATAACAAAAAGTTAAAATTATTAACTAAACTGTTAGCTCTGACACTACTGAACACCTACTGAATGAGATTAGATTATTTTTAAAAGTATACTGGGAAAACCGCAGTTCTCATAAAAAAAATTATACCAAAGGGTACCAACAAATAGTTGGTCATAAAGGTCAATTGAGAAAAGCTAAGAAAGATGATAGAAGATGTCACTTAAAATTCCACAATTCTTTAAAATGGAGATGCTCGGGCAGCCGGGGTGACTCAGCGGGTTTAGCACCACCTTCCGCCCAGGGCGTGATCCTGGAGACCCAGGATCGAGTCCCACATTGGGCTCCCTCCATGGAGCCTGCTTCTCCCCCTGCCTGTCTCTGCCTCTCTCATTCTCTCTCTCATGAATAAATATTTTTTTTAAAAAAAATAAATAAAATGGAGATGCTCAGAGCACCTGAGTGGTTTAGTCGGTTGGTTAAGTGTCTGCCTTCAGTTCAGGCAATGCTCCTGGAGTCCTAGGATTGAACTCCCCATCAGGCTCCCTGCTTATGGGGAGTCTGCTTCTCCCTCCCTCTGCCTCTCCTGCCCCATATTCTCTCTCTCTCGCTCTCTCAAATAAAATCTTTAAAAATAAATAAAATGGAGATACTCTTTTTCTATCATGTATAACTTGTATAAACATTTAGAAGGAAATGTCTTTGACAAAAAACACTATAGACATGGAAGTAATACTTTACCTTTTTTAGGGATAAAAACAAAAGCTAAACCACTCAAACTATTATGGTTTTCACTGAAATTGGAGATTTCCCTCAAGTAAAAATGTATCATCTGGCTATCAAAGTTTCATTCTCGAGATTCCATAAAAATGAAAATACACATGGGGTTGAAAGCTATTATCCAAATAAGATACAAATGGTATTATGAATATATAATTCCCTCCCATTTCTACAGAATGTTAAAGATCATGAAAAATAAGCAAATACCTGTGGGTTTCAAATTCCCTTTTCAGTATTATCCTCTCAGTACTTTTGATTACACAAAATTTTCAATTGACAGCTAACATGCCTTTATTATAAGGAATCTGTTCTGAATTTAGAGTTGCCACAAACCCAAGGGAGGAACCCAAAGAAGCAATTCAGCCCCTACTGGAGTTACACAAAAACTAAAGCTAATTCTTTAAAACCAACAAACCGGGGATCCCTGGGTGGCTCAGCGGTTTGGCACCTGCCTTCAGCCCAGGGCATGATCCTGGGGACCTGGGATCAAGTCCCACATCAGGCTCCCTGCATGAAGCCTGCTTCTCCCTCTGCCTGTGTCTCTGCCTCTCTCTCTCTCTCTGTGTATCTCTCATGATTAAATAAATAAAATCTTAAAAACAAATAAATAAAAAATAAAACCAACAAACCCTGAAGCTGTCCATCTTGATTCTATAAATTTGGGTCTGAATTAAGTTGCTATCTTGTACACAGTACCCCAAGATGAATTAGCAAATGGCAGGATTCTAAAAGATCATGCATGAGAGGCAACCATGAGATTTTTCTAACAATATCTCCCAACACATTTCCAGTAGTAACTTTTATATAATCTCAATATAATACAGCAATATTTAATTTTTCATTGTATTTTACCTGTCTGGACTGAAGCTGGCTCCATAGACAGGCCCGCTGTGACCATACAAAATCTTCAACTCACTGGCTGTTTTCTCATCCATTATTCTTTCTAAGACATCATCTGATTCTTTGTCTATGAGGCTAAGATCTAAAATGATCCCAAAATATTGATTTTTTTAAAATAAATTGATTAAAAAAATACATTCATTAGAACATTTTAAAGTAGTCACATCATGGTTCATAAGAACTAACATCTGAGCAGTTCCTCTTACAAACCACCCACAGGGCTAATGTCTCTAATCATCCCAGTGTACAGGAGAGGAAACTGAGGTTTAAGATAGTTAATAATCTGCCAGAATGCACATAGCTACTCAGTGTTGGAATTATGATTAAAACTCAAAATAGGGGCGCCTGGTTGGCTCAGACAGTTAAGCATCTGCCTTTGGCTCAGGTCATGATCCCAAGGGTCCTGGGATCAAGCCCCATGTTGGGCTTCATGCTCAGAGAGGAATCTGCTTCTTCCTCTCCCTCTGTGCTTGCTCTCTAATAAATTAATCTGCAATAAATAAATAAAACTCAAAGTAACCCACTATATTATAATGTTTTATACAAATGCAAACTATGGAAATATTAAAAGTTTTTTTTATAATGTATTATCTTGTTTAAAATTTAGCAAGAAACTTTCTTTAAAATGAAATCCTAAAATTAGTTCTTCTTAAGCCATTTTTAAGCTAAAACAGAAAGTACTCTCCCATTATTTACTTTAAAGGCATTTTTAAAATTCACAGGCAAACAGCCAAAATTAGATTTTTAAACTTACAGAGTTTTCTGGCCCAATCCCCCCATTCTATAGGTGAGAAAACTGAGGCCCAGGAAAGTTAAACGAGTCTAGCACCCCAGTCTCCTGATTGCCACTCCAATGCACTTTTCACTTGGGAATGTTAGCATTTTGAGTTAAAGTAAAATCAAGTGAAATTCTGCTGAGATCACAATCTCTTGTGTATACTCCAAGGATTCCAGATTCATGTAAACTAAAGCCGAGTTCACATCTTCACAGGTCATCTCAGTTACCTGCTGCTTGTTTAACACTACGAAGCTTTTTGGGTGTCACAGACCATACTCTAACAGTTGAATCTGCAAAACCTCCAGCAATCAAACTAGAATCATCAGTGACATCCACTGCAGTGAGGCCCTGCCAGTAAAAAAATAAAAACATTGTATTCAACAATACTGTCTTGGGAAAAAAAATCACATCTTAGAAAATATATAATAACTCTTTTTCTCATATAAGAGATCACTTGAGATTGCATTTTCTTCTATGAAACCCACTGTTTGAAAGTATTTACTTTGAGAACATGTCATTCACCTCTTTTTGCCCTCTAAATTTAAATCACATGAAGAAAACCTTAATCATTTCTGTACTTTACTAAATATATCCTTAGCAGCTTATTATAAACAATCTATAAAGACATGTTGAGTCCTTAAAAAGTTTTAAGTTTATATAAATACTTAAGCCAGGTTCAATAGAGATGAATTAGTTTCCTGCTCCTCAAAGGCTAGCAGAATTCTGATCAGTGAAACAAGCAACATTCTGGCACCTGCAAGTTGCTAAAGGTCTTTTCAACACTGCCTTCTATCTATTCCAAGCAGTGTCCAATTATCCTTTCCTAACTTCTCTCTGTAAGCTATGTTAAGAATTTAAAAAAGAAAAATCTGTCTTAGTTAACACATCTAAGTTTCTTTTCTTGGAAAGTGACCATTTTACAAGACTCTCTAGGCAGAAATTGCACAATTATTTTACCGACCTGGTAAGCATTGAGGAATGTATAGAAACAAATGGAGGGTAAACAGTCTGGCCCAAGGCGTACTCGTTTGGTGGTTTCTTTCATATTCATTATCTTATCCAATTTATCTGAATCTTTCAACTCAGGAAGAGGGATTCTGTGAAAGAAAAACAGACTGAAAATTACCCTATTAAGAAACTGAATTCACTACAATAACAGATCATCTTAAAACTCAGCACATGTTCCTTAAGTTTTTTCCTCACCTGTTTTGAGGTGGAGCATTAGGATCTTGTTTTTTGCTTTTGGATCCAATGCTATCTTTTTTAGGTTTCTTCTTTTTAGGTTTTCCTTCTTCATTTTCTCCTTCTTCATCTTCATCATCCAAAGGCACCTCAATTTCTGGCTCTTTTAATAAACCAAAGAATACCTGCAAGTCAAAGGAGCCAACATTTTCAAGATTAATATTTCATTCATTGACATCCTTTTCATATCTTGATAGGATGAATCACAATTACAATACAGTAACATACCCTGAAGCAGATTCTGTACTTATCTACCCAAGAGCCAATCTCCCCTTCTTCCTTACTAACAGAACCCTGATTTTGTTGGAGCAGCAATATGCTTGGTTAAATCATTTCTGTTCCCAGACTCCTTTGCAGCTTGGAATAGCCATATAACATCATTCTGGCCAACAGATGTACACACAAATATACTGGGTAGGGTTTTAGAAAAAAAAAATACTGTCTTCCTGATACAAAAGAGATTTAGCAGGGATAAGCCTTTTATCCTCCCCACTCTGCCTTCCTGGAATGTAGGTGCAAGCTGGAGCTACAACAGCCATCTGTGAGCACCAAGAAGAAGGCCACATTCTAAGAGAGTGGAGGAGAAACTAGGAGCCAGGCTCTTTGATGGCAGTGTGGAGCCCCTATGCCAGAGCAAGAGGGCTTTCCTCTGCAATTCATTGTATGTATATAAAATCCCTTATTTGCTTGTCACTGTAGTCAGGGTTCTGTTAAATGCAACCATTCCCAAATTCTCACTAATTTATACATCATCCTTAAAACATGAAACTTAATATACAGTGTACAGTTATTCCCAAACTAGCTATAAGAAAAATGTGTAAATTATGTAGATGGAAATACTACAGTTTTTCATAATCTGCATTATATAGTTCTTAGGTTTATTCCCATACCTTTGATTTGTTTGCCTCTCGTTTAGCCTCTCCTGCCAAACTTCCCACCATCGCATCTATCTGTTGCTTACTACGCGGCATCCCATCAAAGATGTCAATGTAGAGGTGCTCCTGAACTATGTTCCATATCTGATTGTTCTGTTTCTCCTGAAGATGCCTCTTCAAGAGTTGGTACGAGTCACGGGAAATACGCAGAACAAATTTACTTGTTCGAAAATCCAACATGGTCTCATTCCCTTTCATGTGTTCCTTTTTGGTAAGACTAGATAATACTCGTAGGTCATCCTGGTAATAACATTCCTGATCTCCATGGAACCTGTTTCAGTGATTTTAAAAAGTCATTTTTCAATGTAATCATTAAGGGATCTGCTCTCCCCCATATATTTATAAACATCCCAGAATATTTTCAACGTAGCAATCTGAATAATCCTGGACTAAGCTTACAGGATCAGAAGTAACTCATTTCAAAATGATTACAATTCAGTTTCTGATTTCATCCTGAAATTTAAAAATTTAATTTTCTAATGAAATGTATTATTAACATTTTAAGAGAATTTGAAATAATCACCATAAGTGAATGAAAGATAAGATGTCTACCACTAGTAGACATCTGAATTAGAATTTCTGCTTTACTAAATTTTATGTTCTCTCAAAATCCACTTTTAAAAGATTTTATTATGGAAAATTTCAAACATATACAACAGTAGAAACTAGTATAATTAACGAACCTATCCCCCAGCTTCTTAATAATTAATACATGACATTCTCATAAAACCCACCATTTTCAATGATTTCTTATATTCTTAATACCAGATATATTTATTAAACATCAGTATAATAATAATGACTAAAGAACAAACAAATGTTGATACCAAAGAATAAACACTTACATTTACTCACCATTACCAAAGGTAATTAAGTAAAGCTTTCAGCCTTGGTGATAATTAGTAAATTTAAATGTACTTTTGTTTCTATAAATCTTAATTTTCCTAATAAAGTAAAATTAAAGATCATATATTTGGCACTCACTAACAATGCAAAAACATTTAGAGAACAATGACTAAACATAAGGTATTAGGGCTCTAGCTCTGATACACAGCCAAAAGATTCCTCAACTGTTACCTATGTTACCCTATTATGATACACCAAGACATGAACTAAGGGTTTCCGTCCAAGATTTCAGTGAAATTAGAAATTTCAGCCTCCTGGTGTTCATAGCAGTCACTGCCCATAACCTCATCTGAGCACTGGTGCTTGGGAAGGGCTGAGATTGTCCACAACAAGCAAACAAGAGTCCCCCAGGATATTCTAGCTTTCTATGTGACGAGATGGCGATCCATGATACTAAGAGAGGAAGGGGTTTTTTGATGACAATACTTTAAGAAAAATTAGGTTACAATCCTGTCATCATCAGCCTTTGTTAATTTTTTTGTAAAATGCTAAGCTAAAGAATATTTGCTTTATAAACCTTCTATAAAGCATCATACAATAACGAATGGACATAATGGCATTGAAGCTAAGTGTCCCAAGTTCTATCATTCCTCTATGACCACTACTTGTGTTGTCTGACAACTGCTGGCTTTTGGGTCTATTGTTTGTATTAAAATGTTCTCATTCGGGATCCCTGGGTGGCGCAGTGGTTTGGCGCCTGACTTTGACCCAGGGCGCGATCCTGGAGACCCGGGATCGAATCCCATGTCAGGCTCCCGGTGCATGGAGCCTGCTTCTCCCTCTGCCTATGTCTCTACCTCTCTCTCTCTCTCTGTGACTATCATAAATAAATAAAAAATTTAAAAAAAAAATGTTCTCATTCAAACTGTTAAGTACTGCCTCCTTTTTAAACACTCCTTTTTTGGCTTCTATAACTCAATACCTTCCTGGTTTTCTTCCTACTTCTCTAACTTCTCCCTGCATACCTCTTCTACTTGGCCATCTGTTCTACTCTTTTTCTATCTCTTCTACTCCAAATGTTGGGAGTTCCTCAAGGCCCAGGTCCAGCCTCCCAGTGACTTATTTCATATAGCCCCCACTCCAGGTAATCTCATCCATATCCATCAATATTATACACAACTCCAATTTATGGCTCTAGTCCCTACATCTCCTTGGAACTCCAGAGACTTATATACCATTCACGAATCAACTTAGTATCTCTTAAATGAGTCAAAGGCATATTCAAATCTGAACTCAAGATTACTCCACAACCGGTCAAACCAGGTCTTCTTCCAGGGTTTCCTATCTTAGTGAAGGCCACCCCTATCCAGATGATGGAGCCAGAAACCTAATGGTTATCAATATTACTCTCATCTCCCTTACTCCATATCCAATCCATTACCAACTGCCTCACCAATATCTACTTACCTTCACAAACACTACTGCACCCTAGTCTAATATTTCTCAACAGAACATTTTGGGGCAGAACAATTCTTTGTTAAGTAGGACTACCTGCACATATTAGAACATTTGGCATCCCAAAGACACCTGCTCTTCCCCACCCTGGTCATTATGACAACCAAAACACCTTTACACATGTTCAAATAGCCCAGGAGAAGCCGGAATAATATTACCCCCTAGTTGAGGACCACTACAATCACCTCCCAAACTAGTCACTCTAAAGTCACTCTGTTCCTCCCCACAACCACCATCTATTCTTTTTAACTGCATAAAGGTCCTTTCAAAAGGCAAATCGGGGCACCTGGCTAGCATAAGTAGTAGAGCATACGACTCGATCTCATCAGGGTTGTGAGTTCAGCCCCACTCTGGGTAAAGAGATTACTTCAAAAAATAATAATAATTTTTTTTAAAAATGCAAATCTAATAATGACATGGACCTTCAATGACTTCTATAGCAGAGACACCTCGCTGTCCCTAACATCCATTTTTTTTCTTTCTTCCTCCACAGCAGAATTCCTGAATATTAGCTGAGCACATAAACACAGGGAGGTAGGAAGTGTGGACATTGACTAACCACATAAAAAAGGAAGAGGGGGCAGCCTGGGTGGCTCAGTGGTTTAGCGCCATCTTCAGCCCAGGGCGTGATCCTGGAGACAGGGGATGGGAGTCCCACATCAAGTTCCCTGCATGAAATGAAGCCTGCTTCTCCCTCTGCCTGTATCTCTCTGCCTCTCTCTGTCTCTCTCATGAATATATAAAATCTTAAAAAAAAAAAAAAAAAAAGAAGAAGAAGAGGTGTGGGACACCTGGGCGGCTCAGTGGTTGAGCATCTGCCTTTGGCTCAGGGCATGAACCCAGAATCCTGGGATCAAGTCCCACATTGGGCTCCCTGTGGGGGAGCTTGCTTCTCCCTCTGCCTATGTCTCTGCCCCCACCCCTGTGTCTCTCATGAATAGGTAAATAAAATCTTAAAAAAAAAAAAAAAAAGGAAGAGGTGTGTGCAACTTCCAGAAAGGATGTGCGCCTTTCCAGCTGACTGCAACACTAATATGACTGCTCAGAGCCAAAGAGCCATCTTGTGCCGCAGGTAGAAACTACCCGACAAGGATGGAAGAGCATCAAGATGGAGAAAGCCTGGGTCCCCAGTAATCAAGGCCTCCATACCAGTCCCCGACTGCCTAACCTTTATGAGAGAGAAATGAACTTTTACCATACTTAAGCCATATTATTTGGGTTTTCAGTCACTCTCAATCTAATCTAACCCTAACACAGCTTCCTATTGCTCTTAGGATAAAAGCAAAAAATACACTTATTTATGTCATTATTGTTTGAGTGTTCATTGAATCTCAGCTACACCTAATCCTACCCAATACAACCCACCACTGCTCTCAGAATAAACAAAGACCCTCAACATGGCCCAAGAACCTGTCTGTACCAGCCCAGCTTCAGGTTATACTGTACCTGACTCCATACTCTGCTCCAGCCATACTGGCCTTCCTTCATCTCTGCACCTACCATGATCCCTCCCGCCAGAGCTATTCCACATGCTTTTCCTACCTCTCTTTATCTGGTTAGCTCCAATCCAATCTTCTGATCTTACCTCAAGATCACTTTCTCAGGGAGCTTTCCCTGACTTCTCCAACTAGATCAAACCCCTTTTTTAGGTTCTCCTAGCAGCAGGTATCTCTACTTCATGAAATACATTTTGAGTTACAATCTTACACTTGTGTGGTTACAGATGTGTATACACATTATATATGTGTGCTATTTATGTAATACATATGAAATTCACATACTTCTCAAAAAATGATTTTGCTTCATTCTCATGTTGATTGTAGACTAGTTCCAAGTACATGTGTACAAACAGAGGATAAAAGAGTTGGGATAACTCTGCCCGATGGCAGTCCAAAGAACATTCGATGAAGTGTTTCAGTCCACTATAGTATTCTTCATACATTGTGGGGTCTCCTTGTTGGTTGTAGGCTGACAGCACAGCACTGACATCCGGCTGGTCTTCCACAGCTACGCTTCCAACTGTTTAAAAAATGAAGAACAACTTTCAAAAACTGACCTGATACATACCAAGTGACTAAAGCTGTTTTATTAACGTCCAGAGGGAAACTGTTTCTTAGATGTTTGCCCCTCTCCTCTCAAACTCTCTCCCCCACACAATCACACAATCTTTTTTTTTTTTTTTTTTTTTATTTATGATAGGCACACAGTGAGAGAGAGAGGCAGAGACACAGGCAGAGGGAGAAGCAGGCTCCATGCACCGGGAGCCTGACGTGGGATTCGATCCCGGGTCTCCAGGATCGCGCCCTGGGCCAAAGGCAGGCGCCAAACCGCTGCGCCACCCAGGGATCCCAATCACACAATCTTTTAATGGGATTTTCACTTCGTTTCAGTCACCCTTCCAAAACTCCTTCAGGTTATCCATATCTTAAAATAAAATTTTCAAATCAGTAACAAAAACGTTCAATATTTTTCCTGCAGCTACCTCAAAGACAAATTTCATAAAACATGGTATGTGCAAATCAAACAACTATATTAACCTTCTCTTAAGGTTCAGTGTAAATGGCACCCACGGCCACCAAGCGCTGCCCTGAAGTAACATTCCCAGATCTCTGAACTGAGTATTATAACTTTCTTGTAACACATCCTATTCTGCAGGATATGTATACATCTATCACTCCTTATAAAATGCAAGCATTTCAAGGGTGGGAAGGATGAGCCTTATTTATGTTTTCAAAAGATAACTCAATTTACATGCTTAAAATAATCTCCATAAATACCATTCCAAGGCAGAAAACATGAGTATTTGGGGATCCCTGGGTGGCTCAGCGGTTTAGCGCCTGCCTTTGGCCCAGGGTGTGATCCTGGAGTCCTGGGATCGTGTCCCACATCGGGATCTCTGCATGGAGCCTGCTTCTCCCTCTGCCTCTCTCTCTGTGTCTCTCATGAATAAATAAAGTCTTTTTTTAAAAAGGAAACAAAAAAACCATGAGTATTTATTTGTAATAAAGCAATACCAAACAATGATACACCTGCCAATCTAATCAGTCTGTTGCAAAATTTTAAGTTGCAATTATAATACTTCTGTGTTCTTCACTATACAAATGTTATAAGTTCTTTTGGTTACTCAGATGGCCTCTTTTCCTCCTTACTGGTTTCTGAGTTACAATAGGTCAAGTTTCTGAAAAGATGAGAGATTATAGAAAAATAACCAACATAATTCATCCATCTTATAGTTCATTCACAAAGTTTAGCATTAAGAAAAGATTCCTCTCAATCACATTTTTGCACATTTCTATTTAAGGGATACAAGGATACATATTCACACTTCACTTCTGGCAAGGGTACAAGATTAGGTCTCACATAAATAGAGATCTATTTGGCTAGAGGCTCTGCACTGGATAACTGCATTCAATAAACGTTTATTATCACCTCAGGATCACCTTTGAGTCCTCATACTGTGTATGAATTTTACTGCGTGGACTTTGCAACTACAATTGCTAGGAAAAGGCTGGGAAGGGAGGTCTCAGGTGTTAAGTGTTAGGTGGTAGGCATAAACTTAATAGTGCCAGGCATTTTATATATATTATAGATGAGCCTCACTATAATTCATTTAATAAAAACAACAACAACAAAAACCCAACCTCAACCTCAAGAAGAATCAGCATCACATAAGTAAAAGCAACAGAGATAGAGAGTCTGAACCCTGGTTTGTTCAAAACCTATTCCTAAATGAATGGTTCTCAAACTTTGCCATACATCAATACCCCCTTAGAAGCATATATTCAAAAATGGAGATTCCTGGGCAGCCCAGGTGGCCCAGCGGTTTAGCGCTGCCTTCGGGCCAGGGCCTGACCCTGGAGACCTGAGATCGAGTCTCTCGTCGGGCTCCCTGCATGGAGTCTGCTTCTCCCTGTGCCTCTGTCTCTGCCTCTCTCTCTCTTTCTGTCTGTTATGAGTAAATAATTTTTTTAAAAAAAATAAGGAGATTCCTACAGATTCCTCTACATGATCTGATTCACCAAGTCTGAAGTGATGTTCAAAAATCTGCATTCCCCCAAAGGTTTAACTAGTGATAGCCTATAGTTTGAGAAATACTGCTTTACTATGTTCCATCACTCCCTGGCTATTCAGTCCAAAGCAAGTCCCTTGGCTTTTCCGAGTCCGTTTTCTTATAGAGGTAATGTCTAGCTCACAGTGGAATTGTGAGAATTAGGATATATAAGGTATTTTTAGTAATTACTTAAAGAAGATAGCACAGTTCTGTATAAACAGTGTTAATGCAGACCTGCCAAAGCTTAAGAGCCCCAAAAAGAAGAAAGGGACCGAAAGCCTGAAGGTCCCCGCCTCTAGGCGCCCACCCTCCCCAGACATCCCTCTGCTCAACTGCTCTCCTCAGCCTCTCACTGGAACTGACAGCTTGGAAGAGGGTTTGACTGCGCAGCCGGCGCACCAGAGAAAGGGGCGGGCATGTGGCCCTAGAGGCGGGCCCAGGAAATTCAAAACAAGCCCGCAGAGGTGCAGGCCTGCCAGCCTCTGCCTTCCCGGCTTGCTCCCTTCCGTGCCCTGCCTCCCCGGGACTCCGCGGCTCACCTTTCCCCGGAGCCGGAGGACCTGTCGCTAAGCCCGAGACGGCGGGGGCCCCCGAAGCGCCGGTGCCCGGAGGGTCAGGGGCCGCGGGGCCGGGGGCCGAGGCTGTGACCCGGCTGAGAAGCGCGCTAGCCGCCTCCGTACCGGCGCCGTCCGCCTCTCCCGGGGCTCCGGTGCCCGCCACTGCTTCCTCCAGCAGCCGGGCCTCACGGCGCAGCGCCTCTTCGGCCTCGCGGAGGTTACTCTGCCGCAGGAACTGCAGCACGGCCAGCAGAGTCTGTCGGTCGTGGGGGGCGCCGGCCTCCGGAGCAGCGGCGGGCACCGGGGCCGCCCCCGCCGGAGCAACGGCGGAGACAGCCACCGAGGGTTTGGGGGTCCCACCATCCCCGCCGGCCGACGACGCCGCCGCCGCCGCAACGTTCCCGCCGCCGCCGTTGGGGCCGTTGTTGGTAGTGCCGCCGCCACCCTCGCCAGTGCCGTCCCCCGCCTGCGGAGGTAGCAGCGTCGGCGGTCCCTCTGGCTCTAACTTGACCGCCACCTCCGTCTGCTCCTCCGCCAGCGCCGCCATCTTGCGGCTGAGCCACCTCGCGCCGTCAAGCGTGATTGCGTTTTCACCACATGGAGGGCGGGGAGGAGCGTTTTACGACACACTGGGAAGGCAATATACGGCAGTAGGAGGGGCGAGAAGGGAGGAGAAAAAGAACAGGAGCGAGAGCAATTTTCGAAAGCGAGTGACAGAAAGGCAGGAAGTGGGAGGTGGCGACCGCCTGTAACATCTGACTGTAATAACTACCGTTTATTGCAGACCCGCTATTTTTAGGCACCGTGAGAGACATTTTACATTGTATGACCTCCTTTAATCCAACAATCTTACAAGGCAGTATTATCCTCTCTTTACAGGTGACTCAACCGGGACCCAAAGAGGTTAAACAACTTACTTGCCACAGTCACGCAGGAAGAAAGTGAAAGTGTCAGAATTCGAATCCAGGTCTCTAACTCAGAAGCATATCCCATAGCCAGAAGAAGTCTTCTGAGATACTGGTAATGTTTTTTATTTTGATCTGTGTGGTGGTGACTTCTTTTTATTTTTTAATTTTTACCTTCATAAAAATGAAACAAGCTAAAGGTATGAGTTTTGTGACCTTTACAGCATGTATGTTATAATTCAGTAAAAAAGTGTTTATCTAAATTTTGTCATTGTGAAATGGGTACATTCTGTATCCGTGCTGTTAAACTTTATTACAAATAAACTGCGTTTTTTTTTTTTAAGATTTTATTTATTTATTCATGAGAGACACAGGCAGAGGGAGAAGCAGGCTCCATGCAGAGCGTCGGCCGTCGGACTCCATCCCGGGTCTCCAGGAGGATCAGCCCTGGGCTGAAGGCGACGCTAAACCGCTGAGCCACTTGGGCTGCCCCAAACTGCGTCGTTGTTTTAAGATTTTATTTATTTATTCATGAGAGATACAGAGAGAGAGAGACTGAGTCATAGGCAGAGGGAGAAGCAGGCTCCCTGCGGGGAGTCTGATGTGGGACTCTATCCCACCACCCCGGGATCACAACCTGAACCAAAGACAGATGCTCCACTACTGAGCCACCCAGGTGTCTCTAAACTGTGTTTTAATTACATACTTTTTAAAATAGTATGTGCCATTTTGGATTATGCTTCAGAAGTTATACAACCCTGCTGCATATTGAATCTTATTTATTTTATTTATTTATTTATTTATTTATTTATTTTAAAGATTTTATTTGTTTATTCATGAGAGATAGAGATAGAGAGGCAGAGACACAGGCAGAGGGAGGGGCGCCTAGGTGGCTCAGCGGTTGAGTGTCTGCCTTCAGCTCAGGGCATTATCCTGGGGTCCCAGGATCGAGTCTCACATCAGGCTTCCTGCATGGAGCCTCCTCCTCCCTCTGCCTGTGTCTCTGCCTCTCTCTCTGTATCTCTCATGAATAAATAAATAAAATCTAAAAAAAAAAAAAAAAAAAAAAACAGGCAGAAAACAGGCAGAGGGAGAAGCAGGCTCCATGCAGAGAGCCCGATGTGGGACTTGATCCTGGGTCTCCAGGACGAGGCCCTGGACTGAAGGCGGCACTAAACCGCTGAGCCACCTGGGCTGCCCTTGAATCTCATTTTATTTTTTTTTTAATTTTTTACTTTTTATTTATTTATGATAGTCCCACACAGAGATAGAGAGAGGCAAGGCAGAGACACAGGCAGAGGGAGAAGCAGGCTCCATGCACCGGGAGCCCGACGTGGGATTCGATCCCAGGTCTCCAGGATCGTGCCCTGGGCCAAAGGCAGGCGCTAAACCGCTGCGCCACCCAGGGTTCCCTGAATCTCATTTTAATCTCAAAATTCTGGGGGATGGGTGCAGACAAGAAATGTGAGCTGCAGAATTGGGAAGATCTAGCATAGTTATTCACATTGTTGTTTTTCAGTCCTTTTTTTTTTTTAATTTATTTATGATAGTCACAGAGAGAGAGAGAGGCAGAGACACAGGCAGAGGGAGAAGCAGTCTCCATGCACCGGGAGGCCAACGCAGGATTGGATCCCGGATCTCCAGGATCGCGCCCTGGGCCAAAGGCAGGCGCCAAACCGCTGTGCCACCCAGAGATCCCTTGTTTTTCAGTCCTACTGGCTTTCCTCAACCCTGTGTGGTAGCTGAATGACCAGGATCGGGTTACTTAACTCAAGTTGCTCAATTTCTAAAAGAGGGATAATAATAGTACCTAGCTCACAGAATTGTGTAAGGATTAAATGAGATAATAATGTATATTTGATACCTAACACATAATAAACAGTTATTGGTTATTTTTCCTTCACCTTAAAAGCTGTTCTGTAAATGTTTGATAAAGTCCAATTATGATGTTCAGGGTGATCTCAAGACTGGAATATGGGGATCCCTGGGTGGCGCAGCGGTTTGGCACCTGCCTTTGGCCCAGGGCGCGATCCTGGAGTCCTGGGATCAAGTCCCATGTTGGGCTCCCTGCATGGAGCCTGCTTCTCCCTTTGCCTGTGTCTCTGCCTCTCTCTTTCTCTCTGTGACTATCATAAATAAATAAATAAAAATTTAAAAAAAAGACTGGAATATGAAATTAATCTAATTGGATATCTCAAGTAAGATCATGAAACATGGTGGGAGTGGGGGGAAGTGGAAGATAACTAAGAATGGTTACTATTTTTTTTAATTATTTAAAAGATTTTATTTATTTTGAGAGAGAAAGTGTGTGTGCAAGAGAGCATGAACAAGGGGAGGGCTCCCACCTAGCAGGGAGCCTAATGCAGGGCTTGATCCTGAGATCCTGGGATCATAACCTGAGTGGAAGGCAGATGCTTAAGAGACTGAGCCACCCAGGTGACCCAGCTTATTTTTTTTTTAAGATTTTGTTTTATTTTTTTAAGTAATCTACATCCAATGTGAGACTCGAACTCAAAACCCCAAGATCAAGAGCTGCATGCTTCACCAACTAAACCAGCCAGGCACCCTTTTTTTTTTTTTTTAAGATTTGGTTAGCATTTACCCAATACTGATCAATATAGAGAAAACCTGAATCTCATGTGCACACTTATGATATGGGGAGAATTTGCCTTTTCCTTAGGATCATTCAACTAATTTTTCTGATTCAGTATTCGTTAAATAACCTGATAATTAATTGGCAAATAATTGAGTTCTTAGATGAAAGATGCCATGAATAACACATTCAGGCATGTTTATTTTTCCCTGGAAAGTTGTCTTACCCTCTTACAAATAGTAAATTAACATTCTGATGTATTTGTTAGTCTCAAGAATCTGATCCTGGGAACTGGATCTGCTTCTACAGCTGAAGCCCAGATACTGGGACTCACAAAAGTAACTTTCCTTTTGTAGGGTCTACCTTTCAACCACCTTTGTCTCTTAAGTGCAAAAAAGTGTGGATTGGGACTTCAGACAAGGTTACTTCAAGTAGATTGGGTTTCCTGTTATGCCACAATAGAGATAAGTATATTGAGTAACTGCAAGGCCCACTTTTAATTTTTGTTGCTCTTTTCCCCTGTCTTTTTAATCCCTACTCCCATTCTTCTATTCTCTTCCTGGGATGTTTTAAGAAGTCTAGTGTCAATCAGTATCTTTTTCCTTTACAGAAGAGCTACTCTTCCTCTCTGAATGTTTCTTTTTTCTTCCATGTTATTTCATTTTACTTTAATGTAAAGTAAAGTAAACATAAAGCCACTGGTGGCTCAGTGGTTGAGCGTCTGCCTTCGGCTCAGGGTGTGATCCCAGGATCCAAGGATCGAGTCCCGCTTTGGGCTCCTTGCAGGGAGCCTGCTTCTCTCTCCCCCCCCACCCACACCCCACCCCCATGAATAAATAAATCTTTTTTTTAAAGTCTGTCTCCCTGAAAGCTTGTTTCTACCCACTTTCTCTTCCTTTGATAATATCTGTATTCCAGCCTTTAACAAATATCACCATTTTTCTTACAAAAATAAGCCACATCATAGAAAGGAGGACAAAGCAACTATATTAATTCCAATACTCTAACATAACATGGATATCATTGTGTCACTATTTTTTTCACAATTGTAACCATATGTATTTCTATCATGTTATTATAGCCTTCATAACCATCATTTTAATGATTGCACAGAATTCTAACAGTCATAATTTTTCATGACTTAATCATTTCCTCACTGAAAAATATTTAAATTATGCCCCAATCATACCATAAACAATGATAAACTACTTTTTCATTTATTTCTTAGGTAGAGACTCCCAGAGTAGGATTGCTAAAAGATAAAAAGGTGTAAACATTTTTCAAAGTCTTGATATATGGGGGATCCCTGGGTGGCTCAGCGGTTTAGCACCTGCCTTCGGCCCAGGGCGTGATCCTGGAGTCCTGGGATCAAGTCCCATGTTGGGCTCCCTGCATGGAGCCTGCTTCTCCCTTTGCCTGTGTCTCTGCCTCTCTCTCTCTCTCTCTCTCTCTCTCTCTCTCTCTCTGTCTCTCATGAATAAATAAAATCTTTAAAAAAAAAGTCTTGATATATGTTAACAAGTTGCTTTGTTTAAAGTTGTACTAATTAAACTGTCCTTAGCAATAAGAGGGCCTATTTTCATGGCATCCTTATGTTTCATTGTTTACCATTGCTTAAAATAATAAGTTGTCTGTTTCAAGTGTGACCAAAATGTAAATGTTTATACCTTCAGACCCACCAATTCCAATGCTAGAATTATGGAAATAATCTAGTAAGCATGTGCAAGGATCTCTACTATAGACTATGACAGTGTGATACCAGTTTCTTTTTCTTTAAGATTCATTTGTTTATTTGGGGGGGGGGACACACAGGGAGAGGGAAGGGTAGAGGGAGAGAGAGAACCCAAGCAGACTCCCTCCTGAGCACAGAGCCTGATATGGGGCTTGATCTCACAGCCCTGAGATCATAACCTGAGTCAAAATCAAGAATCAGACACTTGGGGCTCCTGGGTGGCTCAGCGGTTGAGCATCTGCCTTCAGCTCAGGGCGTGGTCCAGGAGTCCCAGGATCGAGTCCCACATTGGGCTTCTGGTAAGGAGCCTGCTTCTCTCTCTGCCTCTCTCTCTGTGCCATGAATGAATGTATGAATGAATGAATGAATGAATAAATAAATAGTTTTTTTAAAAAAGAGTCAGACACTCAACTGACTGAGCCACCCAGGTGTCCCTCTACATTTCCTCTTGATGATTCTCCAGCATCTTAAACATAATATATGCAAAACTGGACTCCACACTGGCTCCTTCTCTGTATTAGTAATTAGCAATACCTTCATCCTGATTTCTTAAGCCAGAAACCCAGGGCTCATTAACTTATATTCAGTCTGCTTCAAGTCCTAGTTTGAAACAGCCCTCTATTCTAACAATTTGTCTCCCTCTTCATTGCCATCATCCTAGACCAAACTATTCACATTAATCATCTGGATTATTGCAGCAGGCTCCTAAAGGGTCTCGTAACTTCTTTTCTTCCCCCTTGTATTCGTTTGTGAAGGTGATTTAACAAATTATCACAAAATTGGTG